TCCATATGAGGTGGCTGACTATCTCCAACATCGGGCATACTAAGATCACTGTCACTCCGTGATGTAGATGTATTAAGTTTTGAGATCATATTTGCTAACTCAGACGACGATGAGTATGTCACATCTAATTTCCCACCTAAATTCCCACCCGCATCATTTGTGTTATTGCTTGAATTTCCACCCACATTACTTGCAATATTGCCCGAATCGTCACCCACATCATTTGCGTTATTTCCATTACCCCGATTATTACCGGTAGCGACTGTTTCGCTGATATTTTCATCTCTTCTGCTGGGAGTTCTTCGGGTTGGAGATGCGGATCGATTCCTTTGATTGGTGGTGGATTCACGGCGACTTATACTGGAAGTTGACAGTATTTCATAGGTTGGTGGTGGAGTACGGTTACGGTAGCGTCGTCTCGTAGATACGTTTGTATTATGCATTAAGTCGAATGGTATTTCTATATTTTCATATACGAGGCAAATTCATGAGTTATCTATATAGCGAAGCTAGTGTCTCTGACACATATTTACTACTACGGTGATAGATTATATCATAGGTGAACTTACCAGGTCTCTCCCAAAAATGTGAATTAAATTCTTCAAAATACCGCTCGCCTGCTCTGCTCCTCTTTCCTGTTTTACTCCCAGCTATGTATAAACACATCGACTAGAAAAATTCCAGCGAAGTAGGCACAGCCAATATAAAAGTACATTAGAAATGTCATAGATAAAATAGTATATAGAATTTAACGCTTACGTTGTAATCTCTAACAAGATTCTGAAATCTATTATTACATTGTTGTCCTGTATAGCTGGTCCCAAATCGTTGGTTGATTGTATTTGCTATACTATTCCAAAAGTTCACCCTGCTACTGCCGGGTATGTTATGATACTCAGTATTTTTGGTTTTTCTTTCATCGATTAGTAAGCGTAATTGATCATCGGTCCACATCCCAAAATTTTAGACAATCCTAATTTCAATGGATGTTCAACTGAGATATGATATTTCTATACGTTTTTATAAGAAAAAAAATCATCGTACCTTCAACGTATCTTCATCGTGTCTTCATCATACCTTCATCTTGCCTTCCCTCGGATTTGTATATCTCGGATTTGTTTATCTTGGACCGGACAATCTCAAATGGTGAGTGTCGTACATTCCTATCACTGGAAAATTAATATGCTTGTAATACACCGTTCATGTGTCAGATATGGAACTTTTACGGCAATATTTTAATCAAAAACATCGATGCGACGTGCAGGCCTGAAAGGGCGATGGATCGAAGATCTGAGACTCTGTCTCCCCTAAAGGGTCATAAAAAAAATTTGCTTTATTGTGCCCTTTTTTCTCATTGTCTCTCGGAAAAAGATATGTTTATTCTAGTTATCTGTAGTATATCTGGCTTCGAGTGAGAATCGCGAGAAGGTGGGCACACAGATGCTGGATATATCAGTATAAATGCATCGTTTATAAAATGTCTATTGTCTGCGAAGCAGATATTCTGTATCTAATATGCACAGATTGAATGACGATGTTCTGATTTTGTATAAGTTTTACCGGTATTGAAATCATAATAATAACCTTCATCATCGTCATCAGAAAAACCACAGAACCCCCCATCATCTTCGTTGTTATTGAAGGAATCATCGTCATCGGCGCCCTCATCACAAGAATTTTCATCATCAAAGGAACCCGAGTCAAAATCTATGGCAGAGCCATGACTCTTCGAGTCTAAAGAACTATCAGAAACATGAGATTTGACAGTTATATCTACCTTTGTCTCCGGTAAAGATTTGCCTTCGGTGCTACAGACAGACATGAGGACAACATTACCTTGTAATACATCTTCATTTATCACATTTTCCGAATTGCTGGAAGCAGTCACAGAGTGGCTAGATGTATGAATTGATGGAATAGAGGGAGTGGTTGTAATACTTATCTCAGTTTCTGGTAAAGTTTCTTCGCATACTTTAGTTTCTATATCAGATTTCGGTTGGCCATGTGCGCGTGAAGAATTCTTCACGCTGATCAATTTTTGATCGAATTCTTTAGTATAAAGATTTATAATATTTTGAATTTGTGTACCAGTTAAACTAGAAATAGCATCAACACTGTATGTAAAGGAGACTTTATCTTTGATTGATCTAATTTAGACGCAAGGTCATCCTTACTCTGTGAGATGGGATTTTGAAGTGAGCCAGAAGATGCATTCTGAGATTTTGATTGGTTATTTTTCTGTTCTCGCGATATATCACACGATAAATTAGATTAATCCGATAAACTATTATCCGAAGCTAAGTTTTGATCCCGAAATTTCTTTTCCCTAATTCTCTCCATTATCTCTTCACTAACATGTTCTTTATATTCTCTTTCTACAAAATCTAGAGTTTCAGCTGAATCATCATCAATAATATCTTGTGGCAAAGAAGTGATAGACAATTCAGGATCGGTTAGAGATTTAGATTCGCTTCTTTGGGTCTGGGTCGAGTTATGTTCAGACATGGGATCGAGAGTAATACCATTATCTTTATCGGACTGATCTTTGATAGGTGGTGAAATATTTTTTGCGAGGGATACTTCCTGTTCATTAGTGATAACCTGGGTTTGCTTCTGTTCCAATTTCGCAAATCGATTTTCACTTTCTTTTGCTGACTGTTCTAGTTCCACGATTCTGGCATTGAGCTCACCATCTCTCAACTTTGCATTCTCAGCATTTTCTTTTGCGGTCTGTTCTAATTTCACAAATCTGATCTCAATCTCTTCCTTATCTTGTTTTAATTTTATATTTTCAGCCTTGATATTGGCATTCTCCTTCCTAAGTTCAGTAATCTGGTGAACGAGATCAGAATTCAATTCTCTTAATGTCTTAATTGTGGATTGAGTATCTCCCATTGTTTTATAAAAAATGTAAATATGTTCAAAAGTTCGAGTCTGATAAAATTACGTGATTTTGGGCGAACTTTTCATCAAAATAGTTCGCTGAAATTTTGCCAAGAAAAAATCCTGATCATATACACCGATATTAATACAATAAAATACATTTCGAATACACATACAGAAGGAAAATAATTAATTATACAAAATCGACCACCAGGGTCACTATATTAATGTGGTGAAAAATAAAATAAAATCCAAGAAAAATATATATCTATCCGCACGTCAAAAATAGATCATAATATATCCGCAGTACACGAGCGATTATACATAAATATCATCACAAATAAATTCTTATTGCGAAGCAATGGCTCTTCGAGCCTAGAATAACTCTAAACCGCAATTCTCGATATAACCCAGACCCAAAGGGGCGAATTTTTAGATTCATATGCATCTCTCTCATTCTCATCGTATACATCACTCGCAAAATATGACAATTATACACAACTCATCTAATAACCCAGACGCTCTCCGAGCATCCGCACAAAAAATGAATCATATATTCTTATACTATAAAGAACCAAATCTAATAGGTCTAAATCCCTAATATGATATAATCACATATAACTCCAATAAACACTATAAATAGATTATATACAATGGCTAGCTTAAGTGAAAGACGTGGAACTAATTGTACCAATGCTGAATGGAATGAATATATAGAAATGCCTCAAGTTCGTACTAATGAAACTCCTAGCGAGTGGATGAAACGGATTTGGGGCCGTCTAACATATTTCAGAGAAAATGACCTCTTACCGAATCAGAGTAAAAAATATCTTGAAGCTAGGAAATTAATACGATTTCCGGATGGCAGTTCATATGCTCCTGAAATCGGAATAGCAATATGTTTCTCTTGTGATCGATTAGTATATACTGGACAAAGAACGAAGAATATGGGAAATTATAACCATATAGGAATGGAAAAACATTGGAAATTTTCATGTACCAGTAATAAATACTGTGGTGTAAATTATGAAGAGTATTTGAAAATTAAACAAAAATCTAATTCCAGCTATAATTATGACAATAACTATGCATTACATCATTATGAGTTATGGAAATGCAATGCGAATAAAAGACTTAAACGTGCAAGGGAAGTCGGAAGAAAGATTCAAGCTATAAATATCATATCTCAAAAATGGTTGGAGTATATGTATAAACCCGATGGTCTCTGCGCTTCAGAATTAGCATTACATTACCAATTACTATGAGCAGTCCGAGAAGAAATACGACAAGTTAACGAGGTATAATACACATATCTACTTATTATATAACTTATTCATATATATCTCGCCTTCTCGCAGTAATTGCTCGAAGTCAGATATTAAGGTTATCTTTTTTATTTAGCATATATACTCTCTTTTTTCGAACATGCGTATTGAGAGGAAAAAGTAATAAACTTTATTTCGTTATCTTTCCTAAAGGAAAACTGGTAACATTTTTACTTTGATTTTTCATATCAACCTGTTTTATGGGACACAAAAATCCCTAGTGTTGATAATAGATCGCGCCGGTTATTATTACACATCTACTTAAATTTCACATCGACTGGAGACGATCAGCTTCTTAATCGAAGTGGCTAATAAGATGTATATTATTGTATTAATAAATAATGAAAAAAATAATTATTATCTCATTATTGTGAATCACGCTCTATTGCGGAGCAGGCGATGAATCGAAATTCGAGCTCTACTCTTTGAAGCTATTTATTAGAAAGATCGAGTGCTTGGTCCCATCCTTTGCAAATATAGAGTGGATCCTCTTTTGCTCTAGTT